TAATACAGCAATATAATTTTTCTTCTTGTACATTCCACATTAAATTTCTTTGCACGTTGGGCTTTCAGTCAATGTCCTACTGCTAAGTTCCAGATTCAGGTAAGTTCCAAGGACTAGTGAATTGTTGGTGAATGGAACAGGATAGCTGCAGAGGTAGGATACATGTATGTGACATCGCCGACCGCAAAATACAGTACAGCTCAAAACTTGCTTACCTTAGGCATTGACTTACGTTAACACCATGTTAAGATCGCAAATGCAAATGAGAACAATAGTATTCTGTTTTCGTGTTCGCGTGTGCAACAAAGCTGGTCGAAAAGACTTGGTCTGTAGACATCAGTATATGAATTTGTGCGAACATTTTACAGTTTTAATAAAAAAATAAAACTACATATTTTTTTTTTACGTCCAATTTTTTTTTGATCTAGATTCAATTATATAAAAAAATGACCTACAGTCACGTTGCAACATAGTTATTTAGTATGATACAGTACGACATACAAAGTATCATTTTTTGCTTACATCGCTGGCAAAAATGTGTGCATTTAGTTCACACGCGATTCGGTAAAATACTGACTAACGTAAAGTCGTACAAATTCAGAAATCATTCGTTTCTTAGATATACCAATTCAGTTTGACAATAACACCTTTGATTTGTGTTCAGTAAAAGAAGCCTTTCGCAAACCAAACAGACGTGCTGTGCAGTGTCAGACGGGAAGTGACGCTGACATGTCTTATTCTGTCATGGATGCTTAACATTTGTATTTTTTGCGCGTACATAATATATTGTACTGATTTCCGCCCTGAATTACATGCTACCTTTTTACTAATACAAGATTTGAATGAAAGAAACCATGGTATAAACCGGGGACATTTAAGGGGAGAGTAGGTAATCAAACTGGCGGTTACCGCCGCGGACTGCTAATAATTAGGGGTCTCTACTGCGGTGGCCACTAAGTACATGTATTGGTTGCAACTGTGGTCGTAGGAAAAGTGTGAAATATATACTTAACAGTTTCCTTTGTGATTCCACAAGTCTTTGTTTCAAATAGCTGTTTTTAAATCGAGCAGGTTGCGAGCAATCACTGGTACATGTATATGGTAATATCGACCCATGTATTTTATTAAAATAAAAATCCATAAGTCCAATGCTGTATACAAATTGTTGTTATGTGTGAAATTGGTATATGTTGTATTTTATGCATATATTTATCATCAATTCCAAAAGTAAAAGTCGTAACTTTCGAAGGTACGAGTATTATGACTTGTCCATACATTTCACTTATGTTTATTACACTTAAACAAAGTTTAAAATAGCTGAGCCTTCTTGATTCGAGCCTTTTGTTGATTTGACAACGGTATCATTAATGTTTATTCTGTCTGTATCGCATTGCAGACAAAATGTTCAAGATCCGTAAACAAGAAATGGACGAACTAAAATGTCTTGTATGTTTCACGTGCGATATGATTATTAAAAAAACTGAGTTAAGCGATCATGTACGTTCTATAAATCTAACCTTGCACACATAATCTTGCATTGTCGTGTTTTTGTTTGTTTGTTTTTTTCTTCAAAAAACGATGTTGCCTTTCAGTTAACTCTTAGCGTTCATATTATTTGTGAGTTAAAACATATTTGTGTTATTAGAAAAGCAGCACACTAAGTAAACTACCAAATCAACGCGTGGAGAACACTGCATGAGTTGTACTATATGCCATAAAAAAATCTGAATGCCAAGATCCTCAGAAAGTGGTCAAAATTGCCACTTCCGGTTTAATTTAAATCCAATATGGCTGCTGAACCAATTGACCATTCAAAATTCTGAAAGTTAGGTGCACCAGTTCACATTAGGGACCATCAGTATAGAGCATTTCAGATCATTGCATTCAGCCATTTTCTCAAACAAGCTGACGAAAAAACATGGCGGAAAGAAGAAGAAGCAAAATCCAAGCGTTAACAATAGGGCTCCAGCTCTGAAATGGCTTGAACCCTTAATCATGAAATCAGGAAGATCATTGTGCTGCATTCAAATCCAAAAATGGTTTCATTGGCTTCAGAAGCCCTTTGGTTACACACTAGTCTTTCAGGGTTACCTTCACTTATCGGAAAATTAATGGCGATGCATCCCGAACGTGATTGGTTTACTGGTTTAACAATTTTTTGAATTTATTACATACATAAACATTTATAAATATAAAACAAATTCATGACATAATGATATCCTTGAAATAACATGCTGATTAGAGCAGAATCAAAAAACAGACAAATTTTACCTACATTTCTGTCAAAGAATGTTAACCTTTGTAGTTTAACATGGTTCAGAAGTAAGGCCCATATTAATCAAGCATACATTGATATGGGTATTTATGTTGTATTAAATAGTTTTTTTTTTAATTATGGTACAGTGAATGTTTTTATATAAAATATGTTTTAGAAATTACATACGACAATTTAAAACAACCACACAATCACAATATGATTAATAATAATTGCACATCAGTAAATAGGTCGATGATTGAAAGAAATCAACAATAGGCATTGCCAAATGGTTTTAATGGGCAATAAAAACTTTGGATTTGAATGAATGATGTTAGTTTTTCAAGGTAATCGTTTTATAAAAACCTCATCA